TTAGGGGCATGGTTAGTTAGTTTTAGGTATTCAATGAAGAGATAATCTTTAAGGTTTAGACCGAGATTAGTTCATTCTTGTCCTAACTCTGCTTTTGCTGAGGCTAATTGACAGTTAGGTCTTAGGTCGGTGTCATAATAAAAGTATTTTAAACTAGCTGGTAAATATTCTCAACCACTGGATAGGTCAGTATTTTGAATATATAATAAAGATAACTTATTCAAATCTTTTAAAGGTTGACAACTACCAATCCAACGATTATAAATACCTTGGTTGATTTGGTTTTTATTTGTATTACCAATTCATAAATATCTTAAATTCCTCAGCTGACTAAAAATAGTTAAGTCAGCAGTAGGGAGATTGTTATTGCTTATTCATAATTCAGTTATTTTTTCTAGATTAGTGGGATAGACTATTTGAGTGAGGTAATTATCAGGACATCAAAGTTCCTTCAACTGTTGGCAATTACTCAAATTAAGGGTAGTGAGTTGGTTAATATAGCATCTAATTGTCTTTAATTTTTGACAATTAGTTAAATTGAGATTAGTGAGGCAATTATCAGAACAATCTAAATACTCTAAATTTGGAAAATCAGAAAGGTCTAAGTTTCCTTCTAAACCTCTTCCACTTATATCTAACTTTTTTATTTCGGCTCGGGTTTTGCCAAAGTTATCAAGCTCATAACCCTCATTCTCTATTTGACAAGTTCCATTCTGGGGGTAGTTTTGATTAAGATAAGTTTCAGCTAGTTGACAAAGGATTATTTGGGTTTCTTCTCCATCACTCCAAGAACCTCCTTTTATTTCTAATTTACTACTATCAACTGAGGTAGAGATAAATATAAATATTAAATCTTTATACTCTTGACAATCAAGCACTCCTGTTAATTGTTGGTTGAGGTAGATAATTCTTGTTCCTCATCCTTTATCAGGATAATTTTGTTCTAGTCAGTCTTGGGCATTTACCATATCTATAATTTTAGTGGTATTTTCAATTTTAACCCTAATTAATAATTACAAATTATTTATTTTATCAATTGCGGTAATTTCTATCTAACTAATATCATTTAATATTTTTTCTAACTTCTTTACTGTTTCATTTTTATTTGTTTGTAATTCGCTAGGATAATGTGAATTTGTCTTAATATTATTGAGTAATTTTTCCAAACCTTTTTTTACTTCTTCTTTAGGAAAACTTTCTAATTTTAAATTAATATCATTTCAATCAGGGTTTCAAGTGTTGAATATTAGATGGAAACGCAATTTATCATCTAAGTTATTTAAATATTTTTGACAAGCAGTTCGGTTATCAATAAATTCTTCTTCTTCCTTTTTATTTGTTTCTTCAGATTTAGATAATTTATAAATAACCCTAAACCCAATAATTACTGCTAATAATAACAGGCCACCTATTATTATCTTTTTAATGAATGCTAACACTTTAATTAATTTTTCGTATTTTTGGCAGTAGAAATAAGAAGTGATTGTTTATTTTCTTGCTAACTCAGAATTAAATTATTTTTTTTGGTTAGTTATTTCTATTTGCTTAATTATTTCTTCGGTTTTCTCTTTGATAATATTTTCCCTAAGTTTAGTGTTGGTAATTAAACCTTCAACCTCAACACTATCCTTTTTAATCTCTTCAAATAATTCCCAAACTTCTTTTTTTTCCTCTTGTAAAGAAATGATAACTAAATCTTTTTCGGCTAATTGTTTTTTTAGTTCTTGATTTTCCTGATAAAACTGATCGCGGTGTTTTCTTAATCTTTTAACATCTGTCTCTAATTTAGGATTATTGTTAGTTTCTAAATAAGAAATATTAACTTTTTGCCGAGACAAGAGTTCTAAAACTTTTTGCTGCAATTCATTTATCTTATCGTCTTTTTTTTGGATAGATGCTTGAATACAAGGACAATCTTTACAACATTTTTCCGAAAAATCACAAATACATTTTAATTTTTCTTGTTCCATGCAACTATTTTAATAAATTTAATCTTTCTTTTTAATTACTCAGTTTTTAACCCCTTTGATAACTCAATAGGCCGAACTAAATGTGCCAATAATCGCCAAAACTCCTACACTTAATTCACCAACCAAAGTTTTAGTTTTCTTTTGCTCTTCGTGAATTTGTTTAGGTTTATCTCCAATATCTTTTACTGCTCCACCAATTTCATCAGTTAATTTTTCGTATTCTGTGATTTTTTCTTTTAAGTTTGCGAGTTCTTTTTTAACTGCATCAAGTTCTTGCTCTAATTCATCAACTTTAATTCCTCCTTGGTTATCATTACTTTCCGCAATAGGTTTATTGCTGTTAAATGCCTTAACTTTTTCCCCCAACTCAGTCAAATCCTTATTAACCTCTTTTTGTAATTCGTGAGTTTGGTCTAAATGAGTTTTTCAACCTTTTATTTTCTCTCGATACTCTCTCAGTTCTGTTAGTTTATTGTCTATCACTTTTTAAAATCAAACACCGCGATTTTTTCTTTCTTTTAATCCGGCCGAAGAAGGAGTGTTGGGTGTTTGAGGAGTAGTGGGCGAAAACGAAGAACTTTCCCTCCCCTCATTTTTTTTGTCTTGTAATCTTTTTCGAATTTTATAAGTTATTATTCCCAAAAAACAAAAAAAGACACTGCCTAAACATAACCCAATAATTACCCGATTAGCAGTCGGTAGTCATTCAAAAGTTTGTTGAATATTGATTGGAGCCAAAGAAGAAGTATCATCCTCAGGTAGCGAACTAGTTGGCACATCTTTAAATACTGTGGAAGTTTTTATCTGTGATCTATTAATCGTTTTTGTTTTTCGCACGGTAGTAGGAACAGTGGTAGTAGCGGTAATTACTTGGGATGGAGTAATTTCCAAAGAAGTAGTGGAACTGGTTGTTATTGGTAAAATTGAAACTTGAGACATATATATTATATTTTTATCACACGTATTTCAAATAAAACTTATTAATAAATGCCTCTCGCTCCTTCCACTTATCGTTTGTCCTATTTACAACAGACTGATTATTCCAATCCAACCCAATTATTGGAGTGGTTAAAATTAGCCGAAAAAACCATTGAAGAAAACGAGCAAAGCATTAATCAATTACTAATCGAAAAGGAAGAATTAATTAAACAACTAACCGAACTGAAAGAACAACAAACTAGTGATGAAACCAAAAAACTAGAACTTTTACAACTAATTAGCAAATTTGAACGCAAAGAGCAAGAGAATGAAGAATTAGCCACAACTAATAGTTTTTTACAAAGTGAATTAGTTAATTTACAAAATCAAATTCAACAACAAATTCAACAAAATCGGCGTCGTAGCCAAAGTAATCGTCAAAAAGACCAACAAATACAAACTTTAAAAGAAGCTTTGGTCGAAAAGGAAGAAATAATAAATAATCTCCAACAACGTTTAACGGAATTAAATGCCAAAGAAAAGAAAGCCCGCCTAAGTCGCGACAGACTAGAAAAGCATTTAAGTATTAATTATAGTGAAAAAGCCCAAAGTGAAATTCAATTACAAAAATATCAAACCCAAATTCAATTTTTAAAGGGTAAAAATGCTTCTCTAATCCAAGCCGAACAAGAATTATTCAAACTTCATGAAAAGGATAATTTAGTTAATCAAGAATTAAAAAGTGATTTAGAAACTATTTCGGGGCAGTTGCGAACTAACCAAGAGCAAAATATACTATTGGAAGAAAAAATAAGAGAACTAGAAGAAGAATTAAATAAGTCTAATCTAGAAGAAATTCCTAATGGAACAAATGAAAACTTATCTAATGATTTACAACAAGGATTAATTGACAACTTAGAAAAAGAATTAACCGAACAAAAGCAAGTTTATCAAGAATTAGAGCAAAAATATCAAAAACTATTTCTTACTACGGAAAAACTAAAAAAAGAACAAAAAATTCCTGCTCCTTTGCCTTTTTGAAAATCTCAGCAAACTTACTGAATAGGTGGAATTGCTTTGCTATTTTTTGCTGGTTGGTGATTTATCAAAAAATATTTAGTTTAAATCCCCCTTAATTCCCTTTCCATTTCACCAATAATCATGTTTTTAATCTTTTCTTTCGTTTCAGTCATACTTTTAGCCGAAGTAGTAAGGCGGTTGATATCTTTCTCTCATTCGGTAAAGTATTTTTCTAATTTCAGTAAATAATTCGGTAATTTGTCTTTAACTCACTCTTCTCATTTTTTTATTCTTTCAGCCGGACTTTCTTCTTGGTGAAGACGTTGTTTGGAAAGAATTAATAAGCGGGCTACTTGACTGGCAAAGATAAAGTTATCATCATCGCTCACGAGGATACTTTTTTGCGGATAAGGTCTTCACAAGGGATTTCCTTGGCGACAAGTAGCGATAATTATTCCGTAGTCGGCTTTTTCGTTCACCATATCCTTTTCTAATTTCTCTAATCATTTATTATCCCATTTATCGGTATTTTTGATTTCATAAATGATTTTGGCTACTTTTTGGTCGCCGTGGTAAATTTCCTGAATGATATCAGCTTTTTCTCCCACGTGAGTTATTTTGCTAACTTCATCAGCTCAGTTATAACTAGTTTGTAATTGCTCCAAAATATATTTTTCTAGCTCTTCCCCTTTGGTTTTACTATTTTTGGTGGAACCTAATTTGTAACCTTCCACGATTAGTTTTAATTTTTCGTTTTCGGACTTTAATTGCTGAAAAATAGGTAAAGAAGTGATTTCTTGTTCTAGTTGTTGGCGGATTTGCTGTTTATACTCAGTTTCTTTGTGCTGAAAGTAAGATTGTAAGTGAGCGATAGTAAAGTGATTATTGTCAAAATCTTGGGCGGTGAGAGATTTTTGACAGTGGGGGCAGGTGAGGGCGAAGGTGAAAGGGGTTGGTGATTTTATTTCTTCTGAAATAGGGATTTGGTTAGAATTAGAATTAGACATAGTTATAAATTAATTTTTGGTTTTTCGTCGGTCCCATTCTCCTAAAAACAAATCTTTGTTCTTTTTAACAATTCTTTCAGTCTCATTTTGTTCCTGTTCGGAGACTTGACCTTTAATTTTCTTAACCTTTATTTCATCTTTGGATTTAGTGTCAGTTTTTTCTAATCAAAATTCAATTTCACCGCGGGAAGTTTCAATATGAATATGGGCGGGCTTGCCTTTGGTTAAATCGTTAACTTTGAAATAACACCAATAACCTTTTATTTTTCAAGTTGGCATATCTTATTCACAAGGAGTATTAAAACCATGGATAAAAACTTCCATACCTAATACTTCATCAATCTCAGGAAAATAAATGTTAACTCCTTTTTTTATTTCGTATTTTCTTAATTTGTCCGCACTAACCCCCTTTACTCCTCATTTAGCAAACCAATTTATTGGTATGCTTAATTCCCGACCATCGCTTAATTGAGCGGTTAATTTTTCGAGGTGAATGGCTAAATTAATTATTTTAACCTCTTTTTCTTTGGACTTGGGGAGAATGGGTTGCTTAATTTCTCTTTGTTGGACTCTAGTTCGCATAATGAATTATTTTTAGATAATAATTTCTCCTGGCGTTCACAAACTAACCACTTTGCGATAAATCTTAGAATTTTGTTCTTTTTGCTCTGCCGAATTAATCACCTTATTAATTTCTTCAAACTCTATCTCTACTTCTTTAATTTCTTGTCAATTATCCACCAAATCAGTTCAGCCATCTTTAACTGTTTTTTCAAAACAGAAATAGGCTTCATCTTGGTTATCATTGTTGATGATTAGGTAATAATTATTAAGATTTTTGTCTTCTAATTTTTTGATGGTGATATTGGTTAAATTGCGGGTTGGCATATATGATTATTTTTTCTTTATTTACTTTACTTTATCCTAGTCTAATCTCTCTTTACCATATATAGAAAAATAAGAGGTTCACAAGTTCACCTCTTACAAAAAGAAAAGAGAATTAAAAATAAGACAAAAGAAAATATTTTTATTACTATTACTTTATGAAATAAAGTAAAGGAAGAAAGAGGGCAAAAAAAACACTATTCTTACCCTCTGCTCCATCTCGGAACTACAAGATATTATTAGTATTCATAAGGATAAATAACTTATTATTGTATTATATTATTAATTTTAAAAAAGAAGTAAGTAGATAAGGTTTATTTAGGAGGAACTTGAATTTTAGTTTCTATTTGTTGATTTTTTTCTAAGCAAAGTTTAGTTATTTTTTCTTTAACTTGACAAATCTTGTTTAGTTCTTCTTCGCTTAGTATATGCAGTAAACTATTTTTTGTTCATT